ATCTGTCCAGATGCAGGAAGGCGTACAGTGATGCACTTCGATGCTCACTGCCTATGACCACGATGTTTAGCACACCCCACATGTTTTTTCTTCCCTCCCTGTAGGAAGTTTTTTTTCCATGTCCATATGTATATACAGTGGACCCCCGGTTAACGATATTTTTTCACTCCAGAAGTATGTTCAGGTGCCAGTACTGACCGAATTTGTTCCCATAAGGAATATTGTGAAGTAGATTAGTCCATTTCAGACCCCCAAACATACACGTACAAATGCACTTACATAAATACACTTACATAATTGGTCGCATTCGGAGGTGATCGTTATGCGGGGGTCCACTGTATATGTTTTTATTTTGTGTTCTGTGCCCTGTTCCTACGAGAGAGAGACTGAGTTTCTTTTACTACCAGTATTGTCGCGTCGGGACGACACGCGGTAGGTGGCCGAGTGTATGTAGACAGCCTGTACTGTCTGCACAGACAGCCCATGCTGTCTGCCAGCTTAGTTCATATTTCGCGCCATGCTGGTGCTGCCACCTATAGGCCTTGCCACTTCAGTATGCCCAGACTTGCCTAACCCTCACTCACACAGCGGCCTAGCAGGAAGACACAAGTACTAGTAGCTCTCTCTCGTGGGATGGCCCTGCCCCGGCCATGGGCACAAACACACAAGCCTGTGTACCCACCACGACTTAACAATAAACAAAGAAGCCTCCGAAGACGTATCATTAACCACCCGCTTGCAGCACCTACCAAATAAACTCGTTATAATAGTGTACCAGTGTGCATATTCCTAGACTATGGAAGACATGGACATCCAAGGACACTTCAGCTTCTATCAAGTCATCGATACCTGTCGAGGGTGTAAAGAACACCATAGCTCATGCTACAAGAGCAAGGTAGGTTACGGATTTCTTGTAGTACGGGGGACTGCGCAGTTCTTGTGTCGCAAAGAGTTTGTAATCAATCTATAGTCGGCAGTGAGGTGCGGACTTTTGAGTCCACACAAGTAAGTGTTGTCAGCCATCTGTGTCTGATATATGCTGACATAACACCCCCTAGGGGTAATTTATAATCATACTTAGTATACTTATTTTCAGCCCGTTGAGAAGTGGTCAAGACAGCTTCTCAAGACCTCGCCTGCAGGGGCGGCTGTGTGGGCGATAGCTGTCTTATCAGATAAGTTTTCCCTATATTTAATCTTTAACCTTAGCTGGTAAACCATTTCTCAACAAAGGGATTTAAGATACTGGCTGTTTATAGTGACATCTGAACTGTCGCATCTGCATGCCTCTGCAAAGACAGTGATTATGTGTGAATGATGGTGAAAGCATTTCTTTCTTTTTTTTGAGTCACTCTGCCTCTGTGGGAGGCGGCCGACGTGTTTAAAAACAAAATACACACACACACACACACAACCACAAATAGGTGAGTTTTACCTGGAGTTTACCTGGAGAGAGTTCCTGGGGTCAACGCCCCCGTGGCCCGGTCTGTGACCAGTGGAACCTCAATATTCATACAACTTGATATTCGTCCAACTTCTTCAAGAAAAATTTGACTCTGTAGTCAGACGTTGCCCTGATAATCAACCTAAACAAAATGGTCCATCTGAACGAAGTCCAACGAAAACAAAGCATCAAGCACTCAGTCTTTCACCAGCTCTCATGTTTTAAGCATCGTTCGCACAAGCTCTGTGAAACTTTTTGGTATTTAAAGTTATTCTGTGACGATTTTTAAATATTTTCATTGAAAATGAGTAAGCATAGCCCCAAAAAAAGAGTAGTGATCCAAACAAGCCTAAAAGGAAAGCAGTGAGAACAACAATTAGAGTGAAAAAAGAATTCATTGGGAAGTGGGAAAGTGGGACACGTGTGTCGGATCTGGCCACTCAATATGGTATGGCAAAATCCACCACATTGTCCATATTGAAAAATAAAGAGGAAATAAAAGGAGCTGATGTGGTGAAAGAAGTCAAAATTCTTGCTGTGAAAAGGTCACAGATAATTGAAGAAATGGAAAGACTTTTGTTAGTGTGGATTAACAAAAAACAATTGACTGGTGACAGTGTTTCTGAAACAATAATTTGTGAAAAAGAAAAGCAGTTATATAGTGATCTTAGGTGAGACATCCCGGGAAACAGTGCTAAAAGTGATGAATTTATGGCAAAGAGGGGTTGGTTTGATAGGTTCGAAAAGAGGAGCAGGATTCATAGAGTAGTAAGACATGGGGAGACTGCCAGTGCTAACAGAGATGAGGCTGAAAGGTTTGTTAAGGAATTTAAAACCAATGTAGACATTGAGGGATTCATTCCTCAACAAGTTTTTAATTGTGATGAAACCGGCCTCTTTTGGAAAAGAATACCTAAGAGAACCTACCTCATACAAGAAGAAAAATCATTACCAAGAAAGAAGCCCATGAAAGACAGGCTAACACTCTTGTTGTGTGGTAATGCTGGTGGGGACTGCAAAATTAAAAAACTGCTAGTCTACCACTCTGAAAATCCAAGGATGTTCAAGAAAAACAATGTGATAAAAAGTAAACTCAGTGTAATGTGGAGGGCTAATAGTAAAGTTTGGGTAACAAGGCAGTTCTCCGCTGAGTGGATACTTGAAGTGTTTGTGCCAAGTGTGGAGCAGTACCTTGTGGAAAAAATTACCATTAAGAGCACTTCTGGTAATGGACAATGCTCCTGTTCACCCTCCAGGCTTGGAGGAAAATTTGATGGATGAATACAGCTTCATTAAAGTGAAGATCTTGCCCCCATAACACCACTCCTATTATCCTACCCATGGACCAGCAGGTAATTTCAAATTTTAAGAAACTTTACAGAAAAGCACTGTTTAAAAGATGCTTTAATGTTACCTCTGAAACAGAGTTTACCCTGGGGGAATTTTGGAAAAAAACATTTTAATATCCTCAAATGTTGTTTCTTTCAGAACAATGAACTCTGCCTGGAAGAAACTGTGGCCAGACTGTGTCTCATTCAGAAATTCTGAAGGTTTTGAGGCAGAGCCTGTAGTGAAGGATATTGCTTCTCTTGGCCAGTCCATGGGTTTTAAAGTGGACAATAAGGATGTAAAGGAGTTGGTGGAGGATCACAAGAATAAGTTCACCACAGAAGAACTTCAAGACCTGCACAAGGAGCAGCAAGAAGAATTGGTTGAGGAAATTTCTTCTTCTTCTTCAGAGGGAAGCAACAAATTTGTACACACCATACTTCTTTGTCAGATCCCCAAATTAGTACTCTTGTGAAGCTACGTACACTTGCCAACCCCCACCCCACAGGTAAACATTTACAGAAATGTGTTTCCCGGTAAAGTTGGTGCCTGATCAGCCGGACTGTGGCTTGTATGTTGGATTGCATGCAGCCAGCAGTAACAGCCTGGTTGATCAGGCTCTGATCCACCAGGAGGCCTGGTCACAGACTGGGCCATGGGAGCGTTGACCCCCAGAACTCTCTCTCCAGGTAAACTCCTCCTCTCCAGGATCTAGCGACCATGGAGTACTGAGGTTCGATTACCTTGTGGAAGGGAATGTGGAGAAAAATGTGGTGGTCTCCCAACTACACCTGAAACAAGCTTCATGGGGCTGCTACAGATACAACCAGTTTCTAACCTACAAACAAGTGAGAATGCAGGTGAATCATGCCATACAATATCCAGACAAACCTATAGGCATGCTTATGTGTACACTATAAATGCCAACACCTATGCGTATAATCTAGATAGAAATGTACAAACAACTGGCAGACAAGTACAGGATACAACTGATCCCATGTGTCCTCATCTCTTTAAGCAACAAAGTAGCTGACCTTGTTGAAGATGCTAAGCAAATAAGAATCACCCTGATCATGTTTTCCATGGCTTCCACTTACTTCCCTCCATCCTTCAGTCCAACCCTGAGCAAGAGATCACCCCACTATACTTTACCTCTTACAGTGATGAACTAAATGGTTGTTTGAACATAAAGGTAAATAATAAAAATATGTATGAAAGTATAGTAGTACCAACACTCTTATATGGATGTGAAGCTTGGGTGGTAAATGCAGCAGCGAGGAGACGGTTGGAGGCAGTGGAGATGTCCTGTCTAAGGGCAATGTGTGGTGTAAATATTATGCAGAAAATTCGGAGTGTGGAAATTAGGAGAAGGTGTGGAGTTAATAAAAGCATTAGTCAGAGGGCAGAAGAGGGGTTGTTGAGGTGGTTTGGTCATTTAGAGAGAATGGATCAAAGTAGAATGACATGGAAAGCATATAAATCTATAGGGGAAGGAAGGAGGGGTAGGGGTTGTCCTCGAAAGGGTTGGAAAGAGGGGGTAAAGGAGGTTTTGTGGGCGAGGGGCTTGGACTTCCAGCAAGCGTGCATGAGCGTGTTAGATAGGAGTGAATGGAGACGAATGATACTTGGGACTTGACGATCTGTTGGAGTGTGAGCAGGGTAATATTTAGTGAAGGGATTCAGGGAAACCGGTTATTTTCATATAGTCGGACTTGAGTCCTGGAAATGGGAAGTACAATGCCTGCACTTTAAAGGAGGGGTTCGGGATATTGGCAGTTTGGAGGGATATGTTGTGTATCTTTATACATATATGCTTCTAAACTGTTGTATTCTGAGCACCTCTGCAAAAGCAGTGATAATGTGTGAGTGTGGTGAAAGTGTTGAATGATGATGAAAGTATTTTCTTTTTGGGGATTTTCTTTCTTTTTTGGGTCACCCTGCCTCGGTGGGAGACGGCCGACTTGTTGAAAAAAAAAAAAAAAAAAAATGTTGCAAGACAAGATGAAGGAAAAAAATCTTAGTTGTATACAGAACCTTGGCAGCAAACTAAAATTCAACACTAGAATCCAGTACATGCCTAGGAAAATTTATAAAAGTGGGCCTTCTTACAGTAATACTTTATTATTTACAGGCCTCTCAAAAACCATGGGTCTATCCTTACCTCACTTCTGACATATGTACATGGGGGATCTGCAAAAGAAAGTAACTTAAACCCATTGTAACAACAGCCTCAACAAAAGGATCACTTACCCTTCCCCAAGCTTAACCTGCAACCCCCAAGAAATTGTGAGGGTCCAAGGCGATCATGGTCCCACACTGACAGTTCAAGAGCACGTTCTGTTAGCTCTTGTAAACTTGTGTCTTCAAACATTAATGTATGATTCCAAGTGGGGTTTAGTGTCTTTCGGCACACACTTGTCTTCTGCTTGGAGGCTTTTCCCTTCTCAGGAAGAAGAAGCCTAAATAGAAACAACTGGTAATAGTTTACTTCATATAAAACTGAACATTACTGCATAATAATTTTAACTATCAGATCCTAATTTTTATAAATCTGATATAGAATGTGAAAAAAGTTAAATAAAAAGACTGTATATCAGGCTTGGTATAATTTTAATACATATGCAGTACTGCAATTTGTTTATACATTCAAATGAGAAAATATTAATTTCCCCTTGTTGTGTGCAAAATTATACACAGTATTGCATTATGAAGAAAATTTCAGATGAAAAGAACAAAACGAAGTAAAAGTGAGAATACAAAATCAAAAAATGAGGGAGAAATATTAATAATAATAATATAATATAATATCTTTATTTACTACAAGTACATATACAAAGTATACAGGCCTAGCTGACATCAATGACATCTTCTTTCTTCTTTCAACACACCGGCCGTATCCCACCGAGGCGGGGTGGCCCAAAAGGAAAAATGAAAGTTTCTCCTTTTACATTTAGTAATATATACAGGAGAAGGAGTTACTAGTCCCTTGCTCTTGGCATTTTAGTCCCCTCCTACAACACGCATGGCTTACGGAGGAAGAATTCTGTTCCACTTCCCCATGGAGGTAAGAGGAAATAAACAAGAACTAGAAAAAAAATAGAAGAAAACCCAGAGGAGTGTATATATAAACTTGTACATTTATGTGTAGTGTGACCTAAGTTTAAGTAGAAGTAGCAAGACGTACTTGAACTCTTGCATGTGTATGAGACAGAAAAAAAAGACACCAGCAATCCTACCATCGTGTACAACAATTACAGGCTTCTGTTTTACACTCACTTGGCAGGACGGTAGTACCTCCCTGGGTGGTTGCTGTCTACCAACCTACTACCTAGGATCAATGACATATGTACTACTATATAGAAAGCCCCTTGTTATGTCGAGCATTTTGGGCAAATTAGGCCAGTTTTGTCCCAGGATGCGATCCACGCCAATCAACTAACACCCAAGTACCCATTTTACACTGATGGGTGAACAGGAACAGCACGTGTTTTATGGAAACATGTCCATAATGTTTTCCTGCTGTACCAGAGGAGATTCAAACCCTAGACCTGAGTGTGTGAGCTGAGTGTGCTAGGCTGGCTGGTCCATAGTTATGCAAGGAATAACTGTGGAACTGTGAGGTGTGTAGTGTGTGATTTGAGAAAATATGAGCCATAATAATGACATTTATGTAAGGTACAAACCTTGCAGGTTTGTACTGTGCACAGTGGTAGTTGAGGCTCAATCCTCTTCCACTCACTAAATAAGACTTGCAGCTATCTGTTATCAAAATATGTGCATCAGAAGAGCAAAAATGTAAAGCTTATTTTCCAAGGCATTACACAGTAATGTCATAGTTCTGTAATGCATTTTGGCAGATTTAACCCTTAAACTGTCCAAACGTAGATCTATGTTCACGTGCATAGCGCCCTGAACGTAGATCTACATCCAATTTTACATGCTTTACGTAAAAAATAATGTAGATCTACGACTGGAGCGCTTCACACGTGAATGTAGATCTACATTTGGACAGTTTAAGGGTTAAGATTAACCATACATTAAACTAATTTTTGTATCACTGATGTTCATGAAATTTTAACAAAGTTATATGGAGTTAGGAGAATTAAGTATGACTATGCTAAGTAATAACTCCTGAGTGTTACAATAGGTATGGAGACAAGAAATTTAAATATGATGACAGAACAAGCAATAACTCTTGTAATACCTAACAAAAAAAATATTTCTAATGCACCAGACAAAGAATCTACAGTAGTTATACAACTGAGCGTGTTTACATACTGATCTCAACTGTGGGCTCAGAAGAAACCCGTTACCTATGCAATGCATTTCAGGCAAACTAATCATAATGCTTGCATACTAAGCACTTAAGTTCAGACCTAGATTATTATTAATGTTATTGAATATCAGAACAGCTTGAGTAATCATTACCAGTCACAAGTGCAACAAGATAGGCTGCACATAACAAACTGGTCAGTTACAGTTACAATTACATCGGTTCAATGACTTGCTTTTCGTGGAGTGATTGAACTGAGGTGGTGCAATCAAAACATGAGAATTTACAGAGTTAATGGATATGACATTGATGTGAGATTTAACAGATGCTTTTAATAACAGCAAAGGCATCAGATTGGGAACTTTTGGCATTTTCAGGCAGTGAGTTCTAAATTTGAATGAACTTTTTAAACAGGTCTTTCCTTTATATTGAATTTACTTTTGTCCAAAATTTTTGTTCTGTCTTTATTTACAATGCAATAACTGTTCCCTCACAGAGTTCTATATAATCTTGTCACAGTTACAGCACAACACTATTGTAGTAGTAAATGCCTTTTCATACACTAAAATAATTTATGAAAAGATCAATCAAATGAATATATTTATTATTCTTTGCATTTTGTTCTAAAATATCTCTTGAATATTAGGGCTATATGCTAATTTCAAAATCTGTAATATTCCTCACGATGTCTGAATAAAAGTTGGAGATTTAATTTCTATAACCCTGACTCAGTGTGATATCCTGTATCCAAAGACTACATCAGATATTGTACTTACCCTTTGCAGACAGGGTCTGCAGTCCCATGAGGTTTTGCTGCAGCTAAGCTCTTGGCTTCTTTCACTAATACATGGAGAGCACCTCGAGAGCGACGGGCCTTCTTGGTAGTTACTGCATCTGGTGGAACAAACTTCAGTGCTAAGATCAAGTCTCCTCGTGGACTATAACTAAGGTCTTCCATTGGCTCCATCTGTCAAGAAAACAAAATGGTATTTTATAAACTAAAGATTAATGGAACACATATTATGGTACTGTTTGTAAATAATACATTAATGACAACATAGTAACTATCAATATCATAGTAATTATCAATAATAAATACACAAATTTATTAGCATATATGTTTTCTAATGCTTTTTTCAGGTTAATGTACTTACTCTGTCTTGTAAAGGATACCACTTGGGAGAGACATCATCAAACACAGTGTCGGCTAAAGATATGACAACTTCCCCTAGGAAATCGTTCCTGCCAAACATGTCACTATGCCAGACTGAGACCCATAATGTTCGAGATTCGAGGTCACTCATTGTAGTACTAAACTGTTGGGTGAAAATAAAAGTACTATAGTAAAGATGATCTATTCCAGCTACTGATCAATATACAGTGTCTAGTAATATCTTAATTCATGGTATAATTCTTCTATTATTGTATGTATATGCCAATTTCTAGTAAAATGTTAGTAAAAAGTAAAATTATTAACAAGAATGTGGGGTGATCTGAGTTATGGTTGAAGGTGGCAGGAAAGACTGCCTCAGTTTCCTTAAGATATTGCATCTAAATAGAAAAATTAGCATTTTTTTTTTACAATTTAATCACCATCTTCAGGATTCTCAAAGTACTTTTCTGATCGACTTTGAGAATTCTGAAGATGGTGATTCAGTCTACTGAAATACAGATATCACATTTCAATGAATTTTCATAAACAAAAAAAGCTAGTCATTCCTGCTGTTTAGAATAATTAACAACTAAGAGTAGTAATTTGATAAATACATACTACTATCCTTTTATACACTCAGAATAATTTTTACAAGGCTAAGTACATATACTACAAAATTAAAGTCAATATTTACTCATCACGTGTTGTGCTAAACGGCATTAAGGCAAACTGACAACTGTATCATAATTTTATCTGAATTCTGAACATTTTAGTATTAGTATAAGTGTACAAAATGTAAACACTTACCCTCTGATACTCAAATATTTCATTTACCATATTGTTAGTTTGTACAATAATTTAATCCTAGTTAAGCAAAGACTGCAACATATACAGTACACGTATTTATTTTGAATAAACTAAAAAAAATGATATGCCTGCCCAACATTGTTATTTGATATAATGTACAATATACATGTAAATCCACAGTCTGAGTTTAACCCTTTCAGGGTCCAAAGGCCAAATTTCAAAGTGCGCACCAGTGTCCAACAATTTTCAAAAAATAATTCTGTTATTTTTTCTTATGAAATGGTAGAGAATCTTTTTCTGAAGGTAATAAAACAAAAAGTACGAAATTTGATGGAAAATTTACAAAATTATGCTCTAGATATTTTGATGTGTCAGCGATATTTACGCAATGGCGATTTTGCCGATTTTGACTCCCATTTTAGGCCAATTATATTACTCCAGTCGACCAGATTCTTAGCTATTTCAATAGTATTACTTCTAGTCTATCAATTGAGCACAAGAAATCGCCAAGTCAACTGTTTCAACTTCAAAATAAAGTGATCGAAAATTGGTAATTTGGCCAATTTAATGCAAAGTTCAAAATATTCTGATTTCAAAATAGGGTGTAGAATAAACAATGCAGGCATTCCTGGAACTAAACTAACATTTCGTCTGTTCATTAGTTACGTTTTCAGGTTTTACAAATGAATTCCATTTTGATATTTTATTCACATAATGAATTTTTATTCAAACCAAAAAATAGATGATTTACTGTCATGCAATACTGTAATAATTGTATAAATAATATCACCACATTTGTGAACGTATATTAGACCCACCAGCTGGTGTGTATTAGACGTGTGGGATCATTTGTTTACTCTTGAACATTGGCAAAAATTTAACATTTCTGCTATTTTGAGCTCAGTTTCAACCCATTTCCATTACTAAAACCAATCAAAATCATCTCCATTTCTGTAACATATCTTCCATTCTATCAAATGAGACCAAGAAATCGCAAATACAACTATAAAAAATATATGAAAAAACACTGCAAAGTCACTGTTTTAATCGAAAATTATGGTCTCAGTTTTTCTCATTATGCACTGTGTTGCAAGATTTGTTTTATGTGGTGCACACATACCACATAATAGATGTATTCTCTCATATCTAGGCCCAAATTTACCACTCACAGCTTATCAGAGTGAGCTGAGCTCATGGCGTAGATCTACGGTTTGGACCCTCAACATCTAGCCGTAGATCTACGGCATGAACCCTCAAAGGGTTAAAGTCCCACTGCATGCATTTTTGAAACTGCCCCACAATGTAAGGTTCCAGCAGCTCTGCATTTACTTCCAACAACTGGGCAAACTTGATTCCTAGAGATGGAGAGGTCAGTGACTGCACTCTGCAGGAGTGGGGAAGTTGTAGTCAGAGAGAAAACTGATTGTGATATTAGCACATTTTTGGCAACACAGCAATTAAATTAATAATGGTGAGTGTGTTTCCTTTTATGGGTCACTCTACCTTGTTACCTTGCCTTTGATGAGCTTCGAGAGTTTTATTACTCTTGGAGCCCAACCATGGGCCTGGCTTGTCTGATGCTTGCCTGGTCAACCAGGGTGTTGCTGCTGGAGGCCCACTACCCCAAATATCCATCACAGCTTGGTTGATCTGGTAAAGATACTTGTCCAGTTTTCTCAAGAAGACTTCTACACTTGTCCCAGCAGTGTTTCTGATATCTTCTGATAAGATGTTGAATAATCTGGAGCCACAAAGGTTGATAGTGTTTCCTTACTGTGGCCACTGCACCCCTGCTTTTCACAGGGTTTATTTTGCACTCCCTTCCATATCTGTATGTTGTTATGGAGGTGTGCAGATTTGGGACCAGGCCCTTGAGTACTTTCCAGGTAACTGTTATCACATATCTCTCTCTCTCCTCCACTCCAGTGAGTATATGTTCAAGACTTTAAGGCATTCCCAGCAATTTAAATGCCTTACTGGCTCTATGTGGGCCATAAACAATCTCTGTACAGCCTCTCCTCACTTAACGATGGAGTTCCATTCCTAAGACCACGTCAGTAAACGAATTCGTCACTAAGTGAGGAGCATACTGTAATGGTAGTGGATTTGTGTCAACCATCTTTGATATTATTTTAATGTCACCTTTACGCCATTTATAACATTTCTGGTATATTTTTAAATGTTTATTCAGCAGTGTATGTATATAGTAATAAACAGAATAGAGGAAATCAGCTCTACTATACATTATTTAGGTATGCAAACTGGTCAGAGAGCCCACCGTAAGTCCAAGTCGTCGGTGAACAAGTATGTCGCTAAGTGAGGAGAGGCTGTACTTGGTCATGCTCTGATATTTCTCCTGCTTTGAACAGGGCCATCAACACTGAGCAATATTCCAAATGAGGGAGCACTAATGATTTGAAGAGTGTCACCATTGACATTATTTTTAGTTTTAAAGGTTCTCAATACCCACTTTGCCAACCTCCTGGCTGTCATGATCTTTGTCTTATTATATTCTTTGAAAGAAAGGTCAGCTGACATAATTATTCCCAAGTCTTTCACATGTTCTTTTCATTCTATTTGATAATCCTCTTGAGTTTTGTATACAGTGTTCCATTACAGTTCATCATTTTTTCCATACCTAAGCAGCTAGAACTTGTCCAAAATAAAACATATTGTTCTTCACTGCCCACTGGAAAACACTGCGTATGTCTTCCTGCAATTTTTCAGTGTCATCTACTATAGTAACTTTCATGCCTATTTTAGTGTCATCTGCAAATGACGACACAAAACTGTGACGGGTATTTTATTCCATGTCTGCTGTGAGGATGAGAAAGAGCAGAGGTGCCTTGGGGAACTGAGCTTACACTGCTGATGATAGACTTTGCTCTGTTTACTACTACTTCCTGTGTTCTGTGTTAGGAACCAAAAAATCCATCTGCCTGTCTTCCTCGTAATGTCTATGTCCCTTATTTTGTGCGCTATCACTCCATGATCGTATTTGCCAAACGCCTTTGCAAAATCTGTGTATATCTCATCTGCGTTTTGGTCAACTTCCAACCTCTCTGTAATTCTATCATAGTGGTTCAGCAGCTGTGACAGGCATGATCATCCTGCTCTTAAACTATGCTCATGTGGGTTATGCCGGTTGTGCTGTTCCATGAGATTTGTAATCTGCCATCTCATCACTCTTTCGAAGATTTTTATGACGTAGGAAGTTAGGACTACTGGTCTGTAATTTTTAGCTAGCACTCTACTACCTCCCTTACACAAAGGAGATATGTCTGCAGTCTTTTAGAACCCCCTGTAATGTTAAGGTCTCCAGTATTTCACCTAGATCTAGGTAGGCTCTTTCTCCACAGAAAGAGCAGAGGCTTGTGCTAGTGTTACTTTGCACTTTTTTATAAACAGGGCATTTCATGAATCTGGTGGTGTTGAGTGAGTGGGCACGTTATCCATTTCTTTGTCGAAATCTATGGGACTAGTACTAATGTCAGTTAGTTGATCTGCACGGCCTTCTGTTGAAGTGAAAAATGCTTCTGCATTTAGTGGGCTGCTGAACACTGACTCATACTGTTCTTTTAGAATTTCCTGTTCATCATCAGTATACGAGTCTCCTCTCAATAATGATCCAATTATACAGGTAGTTCTTAGCTTGGATTTTGCATAGGAATAAAAATATTTTGGGTTTCTTTCAATATCCTATGTGGCCTTTTTGCTCTTCAGCTAATCAAAGACAAAATGCAGATTAACATTGAAGCTGCATATATCAAGGAGGCTCAACTGCTAGGCAGACCAGGTCAAAAACAAAGTGTGATGCTAAGATTTCACTCACTTGGCCGAAAAAAGGACTTCATACATTCTTCCATCCGGGCAAATTGTGGAGTGTTTGTTAATTAATGTTTAACAAGAAAGTGACAAAACCTACTATGTATACAGACTTCATAAACTCAAATGTGAAAATAGTGATAGAATTAAAAAAAATTTCACTCATGATGGCACAATCATAGTGAACCAGTCAGACACAGGTCGAGGGTATGAAAAAACAAATGAACATAATCTATCAAGGTTTCTCCAAATCGCTGGTCTGACTGAGTCTGGTTAATCCAATAATCTCAATATCAACCACATATAGTTCAACATGTAGTGTACATTGCCCCACTTTTATTGTTTTTCTATTGCTGAACATGTAGTGCCTTACTTCAATCCCTTGCTTCTTTTTTTTCTATCTCCTGCCTTGATAACAATATTATCAGTTAAAAGATTATATTGAAAAGTGTTGTGCACTCATTTGTCTACCAAAAAAGGGTATACATATATTTTTTCTATATAGTCAACTCCAAATGCCCTATTCTACAG